GTGTGTGTCGCATACCTCTCTTACACCTAAAACAAAATTAGAATTGACGTTTTACAAATGAAAGAATTTTGGCTGTGAATATTGAGCAATTTCAGATGATAATAATCTAAGGAAGAGAAAAATTATGTTATACATATCGAAGAGCCGGATATTTATAACTGTAATTAGCCAGTCTATTTTGTAAGTTGTGTACTGCGTATACAATTACATGATATTTTTAATATGTGACAAAAATTTAAGGCAAAGATGAATGATTGTTAGTAATGGAATGTAGAACGAGTATTTGAAGTGATAGGATTAGGTAGAAAAGCTAGAGTTTTCATGAACTCTAGGATTTCCAGTAGACATATCCCAAGTGAATAAATCATGTACACTTGGTTTTAGTGCCAACTCATCAACATTATTCTTTAAAAGTATACGAATCATCAGAGTCAAAGTCTACAAGAATTTTATCAGTTTGCGAAAAACACTACATAGGATGAAGTGCAAGTCTTCTGATTCTTCGTCTGTGTGAACATAAATGAGCAGTCAAACGCAATGACATTTCATCCCTTATTTCAATAAATACGAAAAATTATAGTCACAGATTTGATTTAAATTACTTTATAATACTGGCTAAAAGGAGTTTAAATCACACTAGGGAATCATTGAAGCTTGACACTTAAGTCAATCAGCAATCAACAGACACATCGACATTCACCCAATTCACCAATCTAGATTGTTCTGATAATGTTGTTGTTCAGAAAAACAAATGAAAGCTATACGACGAAAACATACGATTAAGAGAATGCAACTCTTTCAAAAATATAAAAACTTCCTTCACAATTAGCACCGCTTTTATCATTGTTATCACTCAGTCTACAAATAATGTTGTTAATCTTATAGTTGACATCACTACTTACTGTTCATACTACTTATATAAACTATAAATTGTAAACTATAAAATTATAAGCATAATTTCTCTACCAAGAAAATAATAATAACAGAAAAATTTAAACATAGTAGTTGTTTTGACAATTGTATATTGTTAAACATCCACCTAAGATTTCACTGCTTTCTGTTTAAAAGTTGTTTGACCTTGTCAATCTAGGTTTACAGTACAACCTTTTAATTTTGTTTAAATAACTTGGTATTTGTTTACCGGTGTTAGTTTTCTGTACATTCTGTTCACATATGTGTGTGTTAAGAGATAACTAACTATATTTGGCCTATTTCCTATTAAAGTAGGTAATTTTTTTACAACGTATAAATAATATAGAGCGGAGATCATTCACCGATTATTTTATTATTCAGTGTCCGTGAATAAAAGTGTGAGTCGTTGCTATATGTAAGTCGTTGTATTGAAATAATATAAATTTAAATTTATGAGTAATAATATGTTGTTTGAATTTGAATGTTTTTGGCAAAGAATTATGGCTTCTTTAATGCATTTTACTTTCTGAGTAGAATAGTTAGATCATAAGTAACAGAAATTGTTCATAGAGCAAACTGTACCTTATGCATTTCCAAATTTCATAACCGTCATCGTCATCGGTGTCGCGGAAACGATTTCGCGTTACATTTTACTAAACCATTTGCTCTCCTGTATGAGTTGGCGATAAATTTTGTCTACACACTTCAGACGGATAACAACATTGTTCAAATCTTGCTATCAATATTATTGTGTTGCTCATCCTTTTGTAATATGATTTGTACATGTAAATTAATTCTAGCTGATCATCATGAGCTGTTCTGATATCAGCATGAGCGGCTGAGGTTAAGTATTGGCGCGCATAAGTTTGATTTCTAATAGTGAGTGCAATATAATGACGAAGGTTTGCTAATAATATAAGAATCTGTTTAAAACACTGTTTCTAGGTTTCCAATAGTTATCTCATATAGATTGACAAAGAGAACTCAGCCGGTAATGTATCATTTATTCACACAGCATCATGTTTATCTTATTGCTTGTTAGATTTATCCGGTGATATTGTTCATATAATACTTTCATGTTCAGAATATGCTAAATATCCGCCATAATCTATATTTGCACACCATGTTATTAGGGTACAACAGATGAAAGTAGATTACTTTTTATCAACCCAATCATATAGAATGCAAATTTTGTTGATAGTTAGCAGTTACCATATTGAACAGAAATTTTCACTTCTCAACATAAATGTATTTTGATGTAGTTATTTTGAAATTCCTATTACAGAACAGCGACAACCTCAAAATGATGAAGATTCTTATATTCCTACTATTCGTCTTGCAGTTAACATCAGTAAGGCTACAAGAGGATGAGGATGAAAATTATGATGAAACTAGTCTGACAGATGATAATCAAAGTGAATCACACAATTCAGAAGATGACAAACATCTGTCAACTGGTAGGACAATGAATAATTTTACATAATTTCCCTGGAGATATTTAATTACTTTTTTTTTCTATGTTTTCTGAGTAATTTTGCATCAAGTAACAGTTTCATAAATGAAAGTTTCACCGTGGATGAATTAAATTGACCTAGTTGGATTAATTTGGAGAGGGAAAATCTTAATATTCCTTAGGTCCTTCGTGTTTTTTTCTGAGATATTGTCCGTAGCTGACTGTATATGTTGTAACACTCTGACTTTAGGTGAAAATCTTTCCTGATAGACGTAGAGTAGTTCTATTACCTAACAGACAACGTTGTTTATCTTGCTTAGTTGTAAATTTTAAAATGAACGTGGAAAATTAAAGCTTGCTGTCTCGATCATTGTTTTTGACATCAATGGTTATTAAGATTATAGGTTACTAATCCAATCTTCAGATCAAAGCGCTTACCGTTCGAAAGCAAGGTATTGTGTGGATACGCTTGATTCTGAGGAGCTCCGTAAGTCTTATGAAGAAGAGAATTGCGAATCGAATTCCTCTATTGGGTGGAATACTCTCATTTACTCCGTAATAAGATTTTAGATTGAATGTAAGCATTTGTCATCGCTCTATAAAATGCATTTGCAAGTTCGGTAATATTGCCTTCAACATAATTAATGCTGGACGTAAATTAGTAAATAAATTCTAATTTTCAGATTAGTTCCAGTTGTACTTATTAGTCGAAAAAGTCTACGAAATCAATACCGATTATAAGCACAGATACATATTCATGATGTGCAACAGTGGCGATGGCTTTCATGTGACTTGGGCCTTGACATTACAGTGGTAATTTGCATTTCTCGACTACCACATCCGTCATACCTCACGTCGAGAAAAATTGTACCTCGGGTGGATGATGTTTTGTGGGGCTCCAAAAACACAATATCACCAAAATCTTCTACCTGAGAAACGAATTTTCTGCACCATCTTAACAGCTCTCTCTGTCATCAAAGAAAACCACATGCTTTGACTAATCTAAGGACGACTGGCTCGGCTAGATCTCTATCAGTAAAACTTCATAGCTGTATTGAGATTTGTCACAATCAATGGCGTAATCTTTTATAAAACTAATTCATCTCCTTTAGGTATTAGCACACTTTTTGAACTAAGAATGACACAGACCATTTAGGCTTCGAACTTAGTAAACATTTTTCTGGAACAAGCCGAACGGGAATTCATAAACGATTGCTTCAACGGAAATGCAGGTGTTGAGTCACAAGAATCTTTGAAAGTTTCCAAAACAGACAGATGAGAAGGCAGAAAACGTCAGGTTGCAGAAATAATCGGTAGAATAAAACTATGGATAGAAATAACATAAGCAATAATGGCCAATTGCAGACCAAGAGACCAAACTAATGAGTGAGGATGAAAAGCAACAAGTGAGCAGTGCAAGTCAAATATGAGTGCAAGTCCAAGTAAATTTAGGATGTTTGGAAATCTAATAGAACTGTCAGTGTCGGACAGCGTCACAACAGTATTTGTGAACTAAATTGCCGACACAGTAAGTGCTTCACTGCATGGTCGACGATCTGACATTTCTCATCATGAACAAAGCAAACTTTCAATGTGCGGTTTATGTTTGAAAATTCAACGGAGTGGCAAATTACCATTCTTCAAATTCCTTTATTTTGAGAAAGCATTGGACGTCCGACAGAACAGAATCTTCTTCTCTGATACCATGCTGATATTGAACTGGTCGTCATTAATATGCAGAACTTTTATGAGCCACTGCACGACTACGATATGGAACGAAAGCATTACAAATTCACTCCAACTAAATAGTCATTCAAGAGATGCCAATTCAATCTTTTGACTCGACAAAGTTTTATAACTCAGTATTTACCATGAGTAAAAATAATCTCATATTTGTGAGTAAATATAAGACCATGAAATTGTAGTATGAGATCTTTGATTCAAAAAATTTTAAAACCATGATTAGTAGTTTCCTTCAAATGGATTCATAGCCATAGTTAGTTGACTGCTACTGGAATCCTCCATTTTTTTTTCATTCTGGTTAATGAATAGTATTAGTAGCACAATGGTGACAATGAATCAAAGCTAATAACATTGTATTTTTTTAAGTTTCCGATTCATTTCTATTTTTTAAACATTTCGGTATGTATTTTTTTAATTGATTTTAGATGTATTTGAAACAAAACTTGAGGTATCAGTCGTAAACAGAGATGAAAATCTCTTGAACTGGATGGTCTCGGATTCACTGGATATATTAGATCTATACTGTTCAGATGTAAGTCAGCAAATTTTCATATGGAATTCTTTAAGGGATCATGATGTCTGAAATTATAACAATCAGATCACAGTATATTAATTAGTCAGTCATGTTATGTGTACACAGATTTGCGCCTCGTTTAGCGTCCTGAATTATCAAATACACAATATTAATAGTTTCCGATTAATAAAGTGTCCATTGTCACTTATATGTTGTTATCCTAATTTTGATATAATATAACGACTATACTTTGATTATGTTCATATAGTATGAAATCAATTTTTTGCTGTCACTGACTATCCATCTAAAACACTATACGCTTTACATTGATATATAACAATTCAATATGAATTCTTGTTTTCTTACAATCTCATTTAGATGAAAACAATGATGTATGAATTGGAACCAAGATTGCAATCAGTTAATCTTGCATGTGATATAGATGTAGCAAATCAACCTGAATCAAGCACAAATAGATTGTATATTACAATTGCAATGTTTTTTAATGAAATGTCGATAGCATTTTCATCTATGGATTGGTCTAGATTGTTTAGAAATGCTTTGATAAATCGTCAAATGAATAGGAACAATGCTCTAATCACTGGTGAGTGAATTATCTAACGTAAATTTCTATTGTCAAAATAATTGATGTGTGTAAAAAAAAATATATGTTTTAATTCTTCAACCTACCTTATTGAATATCTTATTTTTTTTTCATATCATTTTAGAAATCATTTCAATGAGTAGTAAGTTGAAGAATATTTATACTGCGGGTATTTTGTGTAAACATAAACTTGAGATTCTGCAAAAGATTTAGCAATTTGATGAAATCATTACAAAGAAAATTTGTAATCTTTGAACTTGTGACTTGTATGTATAATGTTAAATTACTCAATGTAATAATAATTGCTCAACCTGAATTAAGAAGTAATCAATTTCCAACAAAATAATTATTCTTCTTTTACAGAATTAGAAAAGCACGAAAAGGGTAAGTCATGATCTTCCTATGCATGTACATCATCGATGATTGTTTCATGATAAGTTCGAATAAATTATGTCAAAATAATATTATGCGGTATTTAAATATTTGTGATTGTTACGGAAGAAATGAAGACATTTGGCTTAAATAAAACCTTTATATAAATATCATTAATTTCACTGTGTTTTTGGGTGTATTTGTTTTACTTAACTTATGAACTTGTTTGAATTATTATTTTCGGTCATTTTGGATTCCTGTTTGTCTTGGTTTGTTCGTTTGCAGTTTTTTTTTGCTCCAGGAACCTATAAAATTGAAGAAAGACATTGGTCGTCTATTTGTAAATGACGAACGACCTTTTATGTCGATTATTTGTGAATTAAGAATAAACTTTGGTACCTACTTTCAAATTTGGTTTGGTTGTCAATTTGTGTTCGTGAATTGCAAATAGATCGACATAATGTACTTCAATAACGGGAAGGAGCAAAACTTTGACGTAACAGTGATGTTTGTTTTTTAACTATAATAGCCTGAATAATGCATATTTTTACGACAGTGTAAATTAATTTAGCTACATGAAAGCATAAACTGTTTATTTATAACTTTAGAATTCCATGACATTGAAATAAATTCTCAGTTAATCGACGAAAACATTAACTGGTGTAATGAAGTAAGCACATATTGTGTTGTTGTTTTAACGTGAGCACGAATAATTGAATGAAGAAATTTTAATGTCATCTCATTTTTGTGTACATTTATTTATAATAAACAATCATTGAATTGATGTGAGAAACATAATTGATAAGTATGACTTAATTATTATTTCATACTTCAGCTTGAAACAGTTATTTCGGAAACTTATGAAGGATTTCAAAATGCTTTGGAACAATGTTCAATAGCTGAAAATGATGGAACTTTTCAATTGAAATTATCAACAACGAAACTATTAAAAGAAGGTTATTGTTGTAATCCATCTAATATAATGCGTAGAGCATTCTGGTCTGTCAGAAATCTTTATAGGAAGGCTCGGCAATGTAAGTTACTTATTAAAACATACGTATTATTTATAAAACATCACAAAAGCAATCAAATCAAAACAATAGAAATTGAAAAAAAAAATACAGAAAGAAATATCCTTACAATATCATTCAACACACAATAAATTAACAATTCTTCATGTTTAAATTCTAGATTACATATATCAACATGTGTATTAAGTAGAAAGTTATAAGTTAATGTGTACTTTTTAATTTGTGTATAGATAGTATCAATACTCGTTGTGACACCTTAACCAATTGAATTGCTTGACATTCATCATTTGTAGTGTTTATTGTAAAATTGAATTTAGAAATCATTCAATTCATTATTTCTTTACGTCAATAAAGTGAGACTAAAATCACGCTCACAGAACAACGTAGAGCGAATTGTTACTGAAATCTACCCGATCATCATCAAAAACGATAAATTGAGTGAGTTTTATTCAATTTTATTCGGTTACGTAATTAGCGTTAATTATATCAATAATAATCATTGTATTTCTTTCAGCTACGTACGTTCAGAGTCACAGACATTTATAGTGGCGATCAAATATAAGCGATTGACTATGATCACCACTACAGGAATTACAAACCAGTCATTATTCCATAATAAAGAATATTTACTGGCGATTTCGTGGTATCAAAAGAAATACCGAAATCTTGTCAGAGAAGAGGACGAAGTTACAGATATGTGAGATTAAAAAATGGCTGCAAGACAAACGGAACTTCGCACCTGAAGTGCGTTATATAAAAAAGTACAGTTAAACGGTCACTTGGTTATGATAATGAATGTTTCTATTTTAGCAATCGCGTTTTCTTCGTACAAATGCTTTCGCTACACATTCATGCGATTGCCGAACGATAGAACAACATTATCAATTACTTTTCATGTGCATGCCACATTTAAAGTTAGATATCGTATGTTCTAGTTGAACTTTTGTGAGAGGAAGCATGAATAGAATAACATACAGATAAGAGTGATGTTTAATTGTTCAAATGTCATATATCATTAATATATTTATTAATGATGTTGAATTTCATGTGAAGATTTGTTCGGCGATGACTTTATCTTTTCTAGCTCCTATAGTGGAGTCCAGCGATGAAATACAGGAAGCGTAATTCAAAAGAATATGTCAGGTCAGGTGAGTGAAATGACTCCGCCTAACAATAAATATAGAAATAACCATGATCCATGCATCCATAGATATGGTATTCATCACATTTATATTTTACCTATTTGTCTGATGCCTTGTGATGAGATGTGCACCGTAGCCACTAACTAGACATAAGGACAAAATCAAACTGTCTCTATTACGTACTCTGTATCACAGATGTTGTGAATGTCTCATGAAGTCGTTTAGGTTATTAAGATTAAGACTAGTCTCAAACTTCGACGCATAAGCGTGTTTTATTGGCCAAATCATACATTTATTTGTTTTCACGTAAAACGTGCAAGAACCATTCCGAGCGCAGTGAGGGAACCCGGATAAGCGACTGAATTTTACCGTAACACACTGTTTATCCTTAAGATTTTGAAAACAATTGAAAAGAAAACACTGACACACTTCGAATCAAAATGCATCACTATCCAGTTCTTAACAGAGTTACAATTAACCTCTTTGTATTATGCGTGACTAAATGAGAAAATTAAGTCAAAAGTAGCTGGTGAACTTGTGAAATAGTTAGGCAGATACAAAAGACATTGTTGTACAGTGTGATGTTGTGCATCTATTCCAAATTTAATGTTTTGTTTCAATCAGTTGTTTTTATCGTGATTATTCAATTGGACTTCTTGGCAAATTTTTTTTGTCAACAGAAAATAATCGTTGATTTCCCTCTTGTTCCCATTGTATCGTTTATTCCGTTCTCGATAATTTTTCCGTTTTAGCTTCAAAATTCTTTTCTCAATAAGTCAGAAAAACTATCACATTTTACATCCTGATTCTTGTTCAAACGACTACTCAAATACATTATGTTATGTTTTTTTTACCACTAAGTTATTCACTTAACTCACTGTGTTTACATTTGCACACCCATTTTCAATTGTTTGAAAATTCCTGATATGTAAATAACAACAGACTTTTTACACCTGCTGATGATGGAAAAGACTCTTTTAAATATTGTTTACTTGTCTTTGATAACTCACTTCCTTCGTTTGATTGTATCGAATTGATTTTGTTGATAACAATATTCAATAAAATAAAATTGTCTTTTTCAACCCACTCACTACATTGCCTGACAGTTGTTGAAATTTTGATTTTATGGTCATATGTGCCTATCGTGATGACCCAGTCAAACTGTATTGGCTGCAGCGTATACTATTCTAGGTCAAACTACGCCAAGCGAACCCATAGGAGAAAAAATTAGGTAATAAACAGCCTATCAAGATTTAGGGGCGAAGTTGTACTACCGGCTATGGAGGGGTGTGATAGCATTAAGGTCTCCCTGTCGGAATTTCGGCATCTGCAGCGATGCTGGTTTCATGAAAAGGAACAAGATAATTGTACACTTTGAATAACATGACTCGAAATCGTTTGCGATTGCGTAGATGCGTTCATTCTTTGCGCTTTCTGAAATTCTGATCTTTTGAATTCCTCATGACCCTAATCTTTCTACTTTCAAATTTATTTCAGTGGATTGTATTCCTTACATAAGATCTTCTAACTATGATCTTTCCGATCACAGTCTAAACATCTAATAGCTCTACTTTACTTGGTCTATAATTGACGCGTGCATTCCTGTGATAAAATGTTATGGTAACTTGAATTTAGGTTCTTACGTATGCGGCTTTACGTTGTTCCTGACAGAATGTGTGTGGCAACAGGAGGAATGCTGACAAATGCAGTCCCCTTAGTGGTCACATTTCCATATCCATTAGGCTGACAAGACGATTAATTGAAAGAATCGTATTTTGGGCACTTCGTTGAAACATGTTATTCCGATTAGGATTTGCATGAGTTTGAATTAACAAAGAATTTCAGTTGGTACAATAGACTTTAGTTTTCACTGATATATGATTCTGTCGGTTAAAATCTATTAGCCTTTTCAACTAATACATCAGCAAGAATGTCAGTCGGAAGTGAAGTATTTGAATTTCTCCATATATGACTACAAAGTGAAGCTACGTCTTTACTAGTTGTTGTGGACAAGTAAACAGTCGTTGTTCGCCTCCTTATTTTGATTGCCATCACCTATGCCTAATATGAACTCAAACAGTGGGAAAAAAGAAAATATGAAGCCATTCCACTCCCCTGATATCATATACACCAATCATAGAAAACTATTCCGGTGAAAAATTTTGGAAGGCTTGACTGCTAGTTCAGACTAACTAGTTTAGAATTGACTTTTTACGTAAAGTTCTAGAGGCATTCAGCTCATCAAGTTACATCAATAACCTCCGTTAGGGATGTTACCAACAGGACATCTTAGCAGTTATTGTTAGTAAAACAACCTTGAGTTTTAAATCCCCAAAATTTATACTAGGTCTATTGATCCCACTGCCCAATGATCTTACTCCAATTTAGACGAAATAAATCTGCCCTTCAATTTCCCTTACGATTTAATTCAGCTAACCTCAACTTTGAGATATTAGTAATAAAAGACAAAAGAGGATTTATTTGGATGCGTTTACATCACACAACCGTTCACGCAGATCAAATCTTAGTTTCGAATGCGACAACTAAATGCAGTCAGATATGAAAAAGTAGTTTTAGTCAGAAGAAACAAGCTTGACATGTAATAAGCTCACTGAACATGCTCACTGGCTCAAATAAGGACAGTAAAGTTGTCAGCTAAAAAATTAACAAGGTCGAAAGACGTGTGAATTTTACCCCGTTTATAAAAAAATCAACAAGTTTGTCCGCCAGCCAGAACAAACCATGAATGCTCCAAAATCAGTACGTATCGAACAAAATGTTTTTAAAGTAAAAACATGCTGTCCTTGCTCTGCCAATCGTGCCTTTATATCTGCATCAGATCCAGTTTGTTCATAAAAGATATCACCTAGATTTGTCAAGTATCTTCACCAAGTGAGATTTGGTTTTGTTGTATCGAACAATCTAGCTTTTTCAATGATGTATGTTGTGATCTGTTGCAAATGAGGCTGTATCTACACTGATAGTATTCTCTTGCGTTTGTTTCTTCATCTTCTGTAGAACAACTGCCCCATGTACAGCAAGCTGAGGCGGTTGCTCTCTGTGTTCTTTATTTCAGTGGACATCTGCATGATGCCGTTAGTAAACAGGACTTCACACAAACTCCAGAGTGGACGTCAAACTTGGAATATCAAGCAGTCGATCATGAGTTGCATTTCTCATCGTATAGTAGTTGATGTGTCCATATCGAGATGAATCAGCCTACTGAGCTCTGCTTTCAGGTTTCCAGTAACTATTTAGTTTTGATCATTTCTTCCTTCTCCTTCATCAATAAAAAGAATCAAGCAGACAGTTGGTCACGACAGTGTTCATTCATTCACCCAGCAACATGCTTATCTGTGCGTGAGTTAGATGTATGCAATTCCTTCGTCAAAACACGTTGAATGTCAATCATTAAGTCCATTTGCTCATCATATTATTAGGTTTGAACAGATGAAAGTACAATAAACTTGTCCAGAGAATATGAAGCTAGGGAATTGTTGGACTAAAATGCGAATCTTCTTGGCTAAATACTGACCACTAAAATGTAACTAATTATACTACATCACTTACATTTAAGTTGACTGAGTATTTTAGCATTGACTTAGTCTTTGCCTAAATGTACATAAAAAGTCCATGATGACTTTGAATAATCGACTCAAGTGGTTGAGTTTAGAACCATTAGATAATGTGGTCCTACTGGTCTTCAAGGAAGAGCGAACTTAATACGAAACCGGGTTGTCTCTCAGATACTTACATTCCAACCTCTTCCATGAAAACAAACTCAGTTTATTCGAAAAGGAACTGAACTAAAGTATCCACCAATTTTTTCAAAAATTTGATTTAATATAGTCATTATGAAATTCCTTGAACAAAACAGCCACATCATCAAAACTATGCAAGTTCATGTGGTCCTTCTATTCACTTTGAAGTTGATAACGTTTTTTTAAGTGGTCTACATATTTTCGATAACAGATCATTTATAGGGCATTATACTGGTATTAAAAAGTTATCCATTATATACAATGCGATTCGCTTCTAAAAGGAAGATGATTTTTATGTTTCTAATAAGTAAATACTATTTTTCGTACGTCTGGTAGCACGCAGACAAATGCCAGCAAGATCTGAGTCGAAACATATGGTCCAGGATGAGCCATTTTGTTCTGTCATGTCTCTCGATTTCGGCTGAAAGCGATGTGGTCTAGTTAGGTCCATTTCGCTAAGTCTACCTGGCAGAGCATTGTAGTCTCCAACCACTAATACTACTGTAGTGAAGGAAAACACAGATGGGGATCACCGAATTGTATTTAACGAAAATTACAGAGTTACTCAGTAAAATAGGTAAACCATATCGTAACCGTTAATTTGCAAATCTTCAATCAGTCATCAACCCATTGTCTGACAGTTCACTATTCATGCGTTTCATACAAACTACATTGTGTTCCCACTCTTCCTTTCTTGATTTTCCCCCATCTTCTGCTGCCAGACATTAGGTTTTCAATCACGTCATATACTACTTATAAGTAGCGCGCACCACACCACTACATCAGATCGCCCAACTGTGTGAAGGAGGTCCATAAGCCTTCTGTGATACTAATCTTTTACCTCGGTAAAGCTACAGCCAGTGGGATAAAAACGAACCTATTCACTACTGACCCGCCTACAGTAAACAAGTCGACCTCTCTAAGTTTGAAGGCTGAAGATAATCAGAACAAGCAGCACCAACATCTAAATACGCAGATTAATAATAAATATAAAAACACTAGGTACATTGCATAATCACGGCATTAAAATATTGTTCACCCCGCATCCTGCTTTTATTATCCAGAATTTAAATTGTACCAACCCACAGAATAGAACTCGTTTCACAATGCCAATTTAGCTATTAAAAGTGACCCCAAAATTCAGAAACAGCCAAAATGACCAGCAACTACATACAGTCCATCCTCTGTATATTAAAACTAATACAAATAAAATAACAACAGATACGAACTGTATCATCATGACCATAGTGAAAACAGTAAGATATTTTTGGATACAGCCTCTTTTGGTACAGCATAATATTCAGGCATATGCGGTCTTGATTGAAAAATCAAAACTACTTAATCTAAAACCACCACATTTTGTGGGGATAATTTTAGGGTTGATCGGACAAACACCCGTAATTTTATTAAAAGAATTGACTGAACCAACTTCTTTACAGAAAGCACTACCAAGAAACTAACAAACATACTTATCACAACACCGGTAGTATCGTCAATAAGGTCGCACTCTTAGGACACTTCAGACCCAGGATTTATAAGCATTTTTGAATATCAGATCATAAACGAAAACGTCTTCGAAGACACAACTACAGTTGGAGCCCCTTGCGGTGCCACTGCTGATCCTAAGCCCATATAAATAGGACGGGTCGTGCTTGTGGTTGACGATCCTATCCCATAGTAAACTAACTCGCTACAGAGCTGCCAACAAGCAAATAAATTAGAACAATTTAAACTCTACCCTGCGAATTAGAATGTCCTCATTTAAACATCTCATGATGAAAGTCGAGTTGCTTTGGTCGTCATGAGGCGGATTTCTTTTCCTGACAACTGCAGCTTTCTCACATCGTAGGCAACCGGTAGGTAGCGTCCGTCCTTTTTCCCTAAAAAGTGGTCGAAATCAACTTCTTTATACACTTTCTAATAAGTCGCTTTT